AGCTAATTGAAGTCTTTGATAATTTCCTTTTTTTCTCCGTTTATTATGATGTTATTTGTTAGTCCCTTTGTGAGGAGTTTTGTTTACTTTACATAGAGCTACAATCCATATTGAAGTTTTTTATCTTTATCAGTAAGTATTTCAAGTCCTCTTTGCTTTAAACCAGCAAGACTGTCATCTGCATATCTCAGGTTGTTAATGAGTCTTCTGCCAATCCTGATGCCACATTCTTCTCCAGTATAGTTCAGTTTCTTGGATTATTTGCTCAGCATACAGATTCAATGAGTATGGTGAAAGAATACAACCCTGACACACAGTTTTCCTGATTTTTAACCATTCAGTATTCTTTTGTTCTGTTCGAACAACTGCCTCTTAGTCTATGTACAGGTTCCTCATGAGCACAATTAATTGTTCTGGAATACCCATTCTTAACAATATTATCCATAGCTGGTTATGACTCACATAGTAAAATGACTTGGCATAGAACTCTTGGTTAAGGAAATAATATTATAATAGGGGAATTTTGTGGGATGAATTTTAAGAGATGCTCTATCAGCATCTAACAAAGTAATATATGTAATCTCCTGTTATCTGACCCTTTTCTCTGAATCTTGTTAAATTTTTCTGATCCTGGGACCCAAACCACTGTTTTTTGTTTTCTGTGTGTCAAGGACTGTGGGGTGTTTTTTTTTGCTTCCAATTCAATTTTACTTCTGGATTGTCATATTTCCATCCTTAATCATTTCTCCTAAATTGTCCAGTTCCACTTATGTTCTGCTGTCTTATCATTGCTTATGTTTTATAAGCATATTTTCATTAGTGTCCTTCCAGGTGGAAATCTGCAGTACTCTACCATAATTTGTTTCATACAGTTCATTAAAATATTCTTTCTAAATATTTTATCATGCTATGTTACATCTCTACATTGTAATTGGTCAAAATTGTTCTGGAAGAAGAAGCTGGATGGTGGGCATCTAAATTGGACAGTTTTACCCATGGTTTTTGTTGTTAGGTGGCATCAAGCCAGTTCTCACTCATAATGACCCTATTATGAACAACAGAATGAAACACTGCCCCATCATGCACCATTCTCACAGTTAGGACTATGTTTGAGCCTGCTGTTTCAGCCAATGTGTCAACCCATCTCATTGAGGATTTTCCTCCTTTTTTTTTTTTTCCTTCCCTGACCCTCTGCTTTACCAAGCATGATGTCCTTCTCCAGGAACTGGTCCTTTCTGATAACACGTCCAAAATACGTGAGCCCAAGTCTCAGCATCATCAATTCTAAGGAGCGTTCTGGCTGCGCTTGTTCCAACACAGATTTATTCATTCTTTGACAGTTCACAGCATATTTGAGATTCTTCGCCAAAACCATAACTAAAAGGCATCGATTCTTGTTTCTTCATTGGTTGATTTCTGAACAGATTAAGAATGCTTTGTGCATCTTGGCCAGCAGGGGACACACATGGGCTTCAGTTGGTTTCCCTGTCTCAGGTTAGAACTGCAGTTACTGTTGAAAAATCAAGTTAGAGAGTAACTCTCAGTTACAGAATTTTTTTGTTTGATGGGTCAGTGCATTTATGTCTCCAGGAGTTTAAAAATAATAACAAAGAGGATATAGAAAATAAGTGGTGTAGGCCTGGAATGAAAAAACAATGGGGTCAGTGTTTTAGCATATGGTACCTAAGTTTTGCCTTCAATACAGGGGAGGTTGAAGTCCTGGAGTGGCCCCATAGGATAAGCACTTGACCTCAAGGTAAGTTTGAACCACAAGGTCGACAGTTCAAACTTACCAACAGCTCCTCGGAAACCCTATACAGGATCCTTATGAGTCGGAACCTACTCCATGGCACTTAAAAAAACAACACAGGGGCAGCCAGAGGTCATGGTGAGTGTAGTCCAGTGAATTTATGTAATATGACTATTCTATTCTTAGTTTTCATAAGTCCCAACAAATGATTGGGTGGGACCATGCAGAAAGGGTGTACAGGACTCTAACTTGGGGATTGGTTAGTTTTGCCACAACACTAGGTTTAAAAGGAGCCATCTCAGAAGCAGGAACAGAGCATCTCAAGGTCATCAAGAAAGAAAAAAAAACATGAGCAGAGCATGTCCTAGGAACCACTGGGTCTCTAAGACCTTCAAGAGGCAGCAGAATGGGCTGAGTAGGGGGATCCCAGCCTATGCTCTAAGTAAAGTCCAGTGCCTTCCAGAAGGAGGCTAGCTTGCAGAATGGGATTCCCTTTGGGTGTTTATTCACAGGGCCAACAGAGTTTGTGACACTTGCCTGAGGATGGCAGAGCCCAAGGGGCATCGCTGATAGGCAGAGGATGAGAGAGACATGTGAAGAGGCATTCCTGAATTCTGGTGTGTGCTGGACTTCAAAGTCAGTTTGAACTGCAAGGTTGGCAATTCAAGTTCACCAGCTGTTTCTTGGAAACCCTATCCAGGGTTGCTATGAGTTGGAATCGATTCTATAGCACTTAACAGCAAGCGCAACAACTTCCTTAATAAACCCATAATTGTGAGTATTGTTTTGGAGTTCTGTGTGGTCATTGCAACAAATGATCGAACCCAGAAGAGTAATGTACCCATGGGAGGGGTGATTGGTGTCAGAATAGGACAAAGAAGGCTGGAGGGTGGAGGCCCATCTGACCTCTGCCTCACAGGAATCCGCCTTGGGCGGTGATTCTCTGCGCCCCCTCTTGTGAAGCAGGGGGAGACCAGACATGGCCTCCATGCCAGGTTTGCAGCGAGAAATATGCAAAATGAGCTCTGACTGATTGCTGTCATGTGGGATTTCCAGATCTTTCCATTTCCCATGAGACATTGTTGTTGGTGTTGTTAAGTGCCGTCGAGTCAGTTCCAACCCATAGCGACCCTGAACAGGGTTTCCGAGGCTGTAAATCTTTACAGGAGCAGAAAGTTTCATCTTTCTCCCACCGAACAGCTGGTAGTTTAGAAATGCTGACCTTGAGGGTCACAGCCCGATTCGTAACCACTACACTACCAGAGCTCCATCAGACATTAGACATTCAATTATTGTGAGATATCTCCACATTTTAACTCTGACAAACAAATCAAAATGCTTCTAAAACAAAGTTGCCTAATTAATTCAGAACGTAATAGATGATCTTTAAAGCAAAGGGCCCAAGTCAATTAGATATGTCAATTTGAACCACAAGATCAGTAGTTCAAACCCACCAGCCACTCCTCGGAAATCCTATACAAGGTCTCTAGGATCAGAATCAACAACAACACTTTACAGCAACAGCAACAACAGGGAGTCCTAGTGTGGTGCTATAAGATGAGCACTGGGCTGGTAATCAGAAAGTTGATTCAAGCCCACCAGCTGCTCCTTAGAAACCCTATATAGGGTCACTATGAGTGAGAACCAGCTCGATACATTAACAAAAACACAGCAATCGGTGGTGGTGGGGAACTTGATCCCTACCTCACACCACACACAAAATGAAATTGGAAATATAGACTTAAACGTTTAAGTTAAACAATAATAACTGACTCTTGAAAATTTATTGTTTTTTAAATGGACACCTCTGATGTATGTTTATAAAGGGAAGTATAATTGTTACACATGGTAGTGTATCGTCTGGGAGTCTTCATGGTGCAGGAATGATATTGTATCTTGATTTTGGTAGTGCCCTTCATGAGTATGTTGCTGTTGTTATTGTTGACTGCTGTCCAGTAGGTTCCAACCCATAGCGACCTTGTACAAGGTTTCCAAGGAGCAGCTGATGAGCTTAAACCACTAACCTTGCTATTCAAACAACTTTTCAGTACAGTGCATTAACCCACAGCACCACACCAGGACTCCTTTATGGATACGTTGTTGTTATGTGCTGTGGAGTCAGTTCCGACTCACAGTGACCCTGCACAGGGTTTCTGAGGCTATAAATCTTTACAGGAGCAGAAAGGCTCATCTTTCTCCCGCGGAACAGCTGGTAGTTTCAAACTGCTGACCTTGCGGTTTGCAGCTGGATTCGTAACCACTGCACTACCAGAGCTCCTTTATGGATATAGACTTTTTAAAAGTTCATCTAAGATTTGTGACCTTTAATCTAAGTAAGATAAATTTCAAGGACCTCTAGTAGTGCAGTGGTTACGAATTGGGCTGCTAACGGCAAGGTCAGCAGTTCGAAACTACCAGCTGTTCTGCGGGAGATAGATGAGGCTTTCTGCTCCTGTAAAGATTTACAGCCTTGGAAACCCTGTACAGGGTCGCTATGAGTTGGAACCAACTCCATGGCACATAACCACCACCACCAGCTAAATTTCAATAATAGTGAATAAGTACAAAAGAGTTAGCTAAAACATACATAAAAGAAAGAAAAATTTGCTCTAAAAAGTGCCACATAGATAAAAAGCAAGCTTTGTTTATCATCTTTTATATGATAGTGTGTTTAATAAAACTTTTCACAATAATTATATTTTGTAGCATTTTATAATAGTTATGATGAGACAGGGGTCTTCTACACAGAAACTTGACAGGAGAGTTGGAGAATGAGAAGTCCAGGACTAACAAAGGCAGTATTTAGGAATTGGTAGGGGAGTCCTGGTGTGGCGCTGTGGGCTAATGCGTCAGACTGCAAAGTTGTTTGAACTGCAAGGTCGGTGGTTCAAGCTCACCAGCTGCTCCTTGGAAACCCTATACAGGGTCGCTATAGGTCACCACGGGTCAGAATCGACTTGACAGCACTTAACAACAACAAGAAGGGCAAATTCCCAATGGCTAGTCCTTCAACCACAGATCTGAAGGTCAGGAGGGAGTAGGGACAGGTGGGGTCCAATAGATGGGAAGTGAGTTGAAGTGGGGGACAAGAAAGATGAACAGTACATGGATAGTGGGGCAGGCAGAAAACTCAAAGGGACAGTGGGTGGGAATCACGTGTTTCCATGGAGACAGTGACAGTGATGTCCCCCTTGTCTGTGAGTCTGGTCTCCATGTCCACACCTCAGTCTGTCTTGAGAAGGAAGGGGGCTCAGTCAGCCCTGTTCCTCTGGGGGCCTTCACACCTGCAGAGCAAACCCAGGTCTCAGATCAGAGTGGGTCACTTCAATTTTAAGTCCAGGCTGGACAGGACAGCTCAGCCCCACCCTAGAACTCAGGACCAATCACTGGTCTTCCCTGAGAAGGGCAGGTGAGCTCACCTGGTGTAGTAGAGCCAGGTGAGGCCATAGGTGAGGAGGAAGCCAGCCCCCATGAGGACCCCTCTGACCAGGGTGCGGATCAGAGACCCAGAGCCCTCTTCCACCTTACTGAAACAGGGGCAGCAAAGGTCCCTTCCTGTGGGAGGGAGAAGGCAGTGAGGCTCTGTCCCCTGGCCTCTGCCCCTCCCCCAGCCAGCACCTGACCAGACTGCCTGTCCCCACAACCTCTCCTGCGTCTCTCTGGACCTTCCAGGAAACTTACTTACCTCCACCTCCATCCAGCCGCTAATATTAGGGGGCAATTCCAGCCCCTCAGATGCTGAGGACTGGGAGTGGGTGGAAGGGGCTCTCAAGGCTTTCCCCTCCGCGCCCAGCTCAGCGGGGCAGTGAGTTGCTGTCAGCCACGCAGACCAGGACAGGGGCTGTTCATCTAGGACACACTGCGAGGTGGCATATTAGCTCAAGTTCTTGGGAGCTGGGAGAGCAAGACGACTAGAAAGGAGGAGGGTGGAGATGGGAGAGATCCGCGAAGGGCCTGAGAGGGGGCTGGGCAGAAACGAAGGCAGTGAGGAGGCGACGTTGAGAAAACACTTGGGGGACCAAGGCTGAGACAGACACAGATAGAGTGAGAGAAAAAAGGACAGAGAGTCAGGAATGGAAGAGTGGAACTGCTAGGAACCTGATGATTGAATCAGCATGGTCAAGAAGGGGGTTGAGCGGAGATTAGAAGAAAGAGGGGCAGTTCTGTGTTAGGGAGTAGTGCCCTGGCATTTCAGGTGGACTGTGCAAAACAATGAGCTAACCTGGCAGGTGCAGGAAATGCACTTAGTTCTGCGACGGGACATGGAGGCCCTGCGCTGCAGGCACAATGATGATGGAAAGGAAGGCAGGGTCAGAGCGTGCAGAGCCCAGGGTTTTGTCCTGGGAGTACTGGGGACTATTAGCTGGGGATAATGCAATAGGCTCTGTGTGTAGAAGAGCATCACTGGAGCCATTAGACTGGAAGGAAGCATGGCAAAGCCTGAGTCAATGATCTGGGTCAGAGGATAGATCTGAGCTAGGACTGGGACTCAGGGGAGGAGAAAGAGAGAAGCGATTTGAGTTTTTGCAAATGACTCAGTGACTCATGGGGTGCAGCTGGTGAGAAGAGGAGTTGTATAGAGTAAAATCTGGAAGATGGAGATGCTAAGGTGACATCCTCAAGGCTACTAACTCAAGAACTTGGTTTCTTATCTTCCCACCTCCTTGGGAAAATTGTGCCAGGTGGCAGTTTAGACAGGGGATGGAGCAATCTGTTCTTTTGTTCACCTTACGTTCAAGCCCCATTCCCTATCCCCTTAGGTCTCAGCCCACAAGAGACCCCAACCTGGCAACATCTGAACAGCTACAGTCTGGTTCCCATGGTCATTCCGGGCTTCACAGCGGAGTCTGAGGATGGGGCTGAGTCCCGTTAGGAGGCTGAAGGAGCTATTGGCCCAAGGCCCAGTGCAGCTGGAGGTGACAGAGAAGGAGGCATTGCTGCTTTTCTCCTCCACCAACCTGTCCCCAACCCACCAGTGCAGGGACGGGGCTGGCCAGGCTTGGGCAGAACAACTGCACTGCAGACCCATAGCCTTCCAGGAGCAGGAGGACCACAGCAGCCGTGGGGGGTCTGTGGAGGGGAAGGAGAAGCTTCAGAAGGTACCTGTACCCTCCCCAGGACCTGGGTGTCCTGCCCTCAGGAGTCACCACACTCACAGGTCACAGAGAGGCTCAGAGATATATTTTGTGAGCCTAGTCTGTTCTTGGCTCTGCAGGTGAACACTCCTTCATTTCTAGTTCTGACTTGATGCAGTTCCAGGTACCCCATGTTGAAGATGGAGGAGACATTCAGGGCTCGGGATCCCTGAAACCAGGTTAACTCTGAAGGAGGGTTGCTGTCAGCTACACAGATGAGGTGAAGAGACTGGCCCTCCAGTATGGAAAGGGGTGAGCTGTTTCTTATGACCTTGAGGGCTTTGGGGAGAAAGATGGAGAAAGAGAGAAAGATGCATGTGGAAGCAGAGAAAGATGCAGAGAGAGGTGGAAAGAGATGCCGGGACAGAGAAATGCAATGAAAGATGGAGAGAGAGATGATGGAAGAGAGAAGGAGAGAAAGATTATGACCTTGAAAGGAGGAAAGTTGATAATACTTTCTATCTCTCCCCCCTTCCCAGGCTCTGTTTTACCACTGTCTCTCCTCCCCTAGCCCATGCTGGGCTCAGTACTGTTTGGCAGAGGGAGCACAGACTGCCCCAGATGACTTTGGGAAATAGAATTTGTTAATGCATCAGGAAGTACGGCTCAGGGGTCCAAGTTGGAGAGGTAGGAGGAAACCCACAGAGCACTGTCAAAGTGAAATGGGATTGGCATGGACTACCTCTTGGATGTGGCAACAAAGAGGTCTTTGGTGACTGTGGTAAGATCTGGACCACAGGATGGATGGAGACATGGGAGGGTCCAAGGTCTGACTCACGTCTTTGAAGAGAGTGTGTGTGGCAGGTAGCGCAGGGAGGGTGATGATTCCCATCCTGGCTCTGCCCATATCTGATCCCATTGGAGCTCTGATCCCCACCTCTGCTCTGAGTTCCCAGCCCTGGAGAGGAGAGGTTCTTTCCCACCTGTGCCATTTTGGAAGAAGACGGTGAGGTTCTCTGGAGCATCTGGGATAGAAAGATAAGACCCCTACTTCAGAGGTGAGGAGTGTGATCAGTGTTGGCTCTGAACCCAAGATCCCAAGGAAAGAGGAAGGTGAGCGCTGCCTCCTTGCCTACTCTCCACTCAGACACCCAGGGCATGAGTTTCCCAAGGTTAGTGCATGTTGGTGTCTCTCTCCCTCCTTCCTGCCCTGCCTTCTGCTCCTTCCTCTTTCATTTCCACCTTCTCCTGGACTCTCTCTCATCTTCTCCCCCTACACCCACACCCACACACACACCCCACTCCCACGTCCTCAGAGTCCAAGCCATCCCAGCCACACTCACAGGAGACATTGAGCTGGATGGTCGTCTTTGTGACCAACCAAGTTCTTTGACGTTTCACCTGACAGGTGAGGTAGGTGCCATGGTCCTGGGGCCTCAGTATGAGGGTGAGCACTGAGGACTGCAGGGTGCTAGGGTCCTGCCTATTAAGGGCATCCCCTGTCCAGGAGAAGGTGAGTGGTCTCCCCCCATCACAGGATCCTGGTAGGCTGCAGGTTAGGTTTGTGGGGTGGCCAGATTCCAGAAGTTCCGGGATGTAGATGTTGGGTTTCTCTCTGAAGTCTGAGGAGGAGAGAGAGGTGTCTGGGCCCCTGGAGGATGGGGACCCAGAGTGTGGCCCTGACACTGGCCAGTGTCTCAGGATATGAACTGGTCTTGATCCTGTACTTCCTCTGACCACCCAGGCTCCGTGAACAGGAGCAGAAACCATCCTTTCTCTGGGCTGTCCCCTCATCCCAGCTTCCTCTCCTGGGGCCCCTGACATACCTGTCACCCGCAAATGCAGCTTATCTTTGTAGGTGTATCTTACTTTCAGTCCTCTCTCCACTCGCAAAAAGTAGGTCCCCGTATCATTCTTCCTGGCATCTGTGATGCTCAGGGAACAGTCATTAGTGCTGGGATCACCGAGGAAGCGGAATCGCCCCCACGTCTCTGTCTTCACTGCTCTCCCTGGCTTGTTTGTGGCCACCGGAGGATCTCTGTATATGTCGGCCCCATCCTCAAACCAGAAGATGTAGAGTTTACCAGATGGAAATGAATCTTCCCAGGGGTAGGAGAAATTGCAGGGAACAGTGACACACAGGCCTTCCTGGACCCTCACCGATATCAGAACCTGCAGCTTGTACTCTTTATCCTGCAGGGACCCTGAGGGACACAGAGACACCACTGCAGCCCCAGCCCGGCCTCTGTGGGGGCCCATTGTTCCTGCGCCTACTTACCTCCCCACAGGAGGGATAGCAGCACCAGGGGCAGCATAGCTGCGTCCACAGGGCCGTGAACAAGTCCAGGTCCTTCTGTCAGTCAAGTGAACGCCCTGAATGTGGGGAGGGGCGAAGGAAATGCCAACAGGAAACTGATTGCAACACTTTACATCCCTAAGAACCCATCACTGTGAGTAAGGTCTGTGAGCTGTCAGTGATCAAACCCAGCAGAGAAGTGGAGAGTACTGTTGGAAGGCTGTTTGGTGTCAGTATTGTTAAAACAGCAACAAGACGTTGGAAAGTCAAGGCAAGTCTGATCTCTGTCTCATAGGTTTCAGCCTTGGATGGCTGATGGCTGGCAGTTAGAAGAGGTCCTAGAAAAGGTCAGATGCCACTCCCACATCATGCACCTTATTTACATTATTAGCAAGCTGTCCAATCCCCTTAGAGGGTTACAAGCACCTCATTTCCATAGTCCAACCCAGTCATTTGGTGGGAGTTACAAAGACTATCTTTCTGCTCCTGTAAAGATTTACAGCCTTGGAAACCCTGTACAGGGTCGCTATGAGTCGGAACTGACTCCATGGCACAGAGTCACCACCACAAAGACTATCTCTTGCTGGTTTTTGTTAGGTGCTTCCAAGTAGGTTCCGACCCATGGTGACCCTTTGCACAACAGAATGAAACCCTGCCCAGTCCTGCGCCAACCTCACAATTGTTGCTATACTTGAGCCCATTGCTGCTGCCACCATTTCGTTGGGGGTCTCCCTCTTTTTCACTGACCCTCCACTGTACCAAGCATGATGCATGTCCTTGTCCAGGGACTTGTCCTTCTTGATAACACAACCTAAGTATGGAGACAAAGCCTTGCTATCCTGACTTCCAAGGAGCATTCTGACTGTATCTCTTCCAAGAGAGATCTATTCGTTCTTCTGGCAGTCCATGGTACTTTCAATATTCTTTTTGCCAGAATAAAGGCTGAAATAGTTATTAAAGAAAGAGGCAGAAAGATAGAAAGTGGCTTAACTGCAATGGCAGGTTTATTGGATAAACCTGGGATGGGCTCCTGACATGAGTCAGAAGCCCCCTTCCTGTGCAGGTTAGGTGCTTTTATCCTGTAGCATGGGTAAGGGGGGTAGGGGGAGGTGGTGGTTGTCTTGGATAGGCTGCTGAGCAGTGGTGAGAAGGCTTCTGGGTAGACAGGGTGATAGCTTTCTGTTGGGGGAACATGAAACTTAACAGCCTAAGGGCTTGGGAAATGGAAACATGTTACAATAGCCTAAGAGCACCCTCTCACTTTCAGTGAACTCAAATGGCTAGAATATGGTCAGAAGGGTCGTATTAAATACTTCAATTCACTACAGTGGGTCTGGGCTTCATCTTTGTACCACAAGATTCTAGAGTTCATGAAACTCAAAACTCAAGGAGGGTGGGTCTGACAAGCGACTCATCTAATTATCAGAAAGGATGTTTCTCTTTGATCTCTGGACTCACTTCTTGGTGGACCAATTCTGCCTCTTGGATTTCAGAGTCATTTGCATGGTGATGACTTCAGATTCAGTTCTCAAAAGGCCCCCACTCTCTCAGAACCTTAGTGTCCACACCTACAGAGTCACCCCCATGCTGACAACTCAGGTTCCTAAGTTCCCTTTTCATGGTGATGGTGACCACAGCTTCACCTGTCTCTCCTACCAGATTTCTGTGGGCACTTCTTTGACTTCTCCCATATTCAGAGCATTCCCTATCCTGGGTTTGCTCCTGGCTCTGTGAGTGTAGGTGGGCACGCTGACTTGGTGCTGAGATCCCTTCTGTGGGGAGGTAAGTAGGTTCAGGGACAAGAGTTCTGGCTGGGGCTGCAGCTGGGTCTCTGTGTCCTTCAGCATCCCCTTGGGATGAAAGAGAGTAGGAGTCACAAGTGTTTGTCATTGTTCTGGGCAAATTCTCCTATACTGCTGGGAACCCTGGTTTCGCTCTAACCCACTCTACATCTTCTGGTTTTAGGGTGAGGACAAAATATATTGTGATTCCCTTGTGGTCACAAACAAGCCAGACCAAGCAGTGAAGAAGGAGACGGAGGGTCAATCAATCCCACTTCCTCAGGTTTCCCAGCACCAATGACGGGTCCCTGAGCATCTCAGATGCCAGGAAGAGCAACACAGGAACCTACTTTTTCCGAGTGGAGCGAGGACGGCATGTAACATGTAACTGTCTAGGAAAGGGGCTGAATTTTCAGGTGACAGGTATGGCAGGGGCTCCAGGAGAGGATGTTTGGATGTTGTTGTTGTTGTTGTTAGGTGCCGTGGAGTCAGTACTGACTTATAGTGACCCTATATGCCCAACAGAATGAAACATTGCCCGGTCCTGGGCCAACCTCACAATTGTTGCCATGCTTGAGCCCATTGATGCTGCCACTTGGCCAATCCATCTCACTGGGGGTCTTTCTCTTTTTCTCTAACCCTCCACCTTATCAAACATGATATCCTTCTCCAGAGACTATGTCTCCTGACAATATGTCTGAAGTATGAGAGACAAAGTTTGGCCATCTTGGCCTCCAAGGAGTACTCTGGCTGCACTTCTTCCAAAACAGATCTGTTGGTTCTTCTGGCAGCCCATGGCATTTTCAATATTTTCCAACACCATAACTCAAATGCATCAATTCTTCTATGATCTCCAGCTTTCATATGCATATGAGGTTATTGAAAATACCATGGCTTGGGTCAGGCGCACCTTAGCCCTCAAGCTGACATCTTTGCTCTTCAACATGTTTGGATGAGAGGAACTAAATGTTTCCACAGGGAAAGGACACTGTGCTTCTGATCATGGACCTGACACAGTGGTCACTATAAGGACCACATTCTGGGGTCCTATCCCACAGAGGCAAAGAATCTCCCTCTCTCCTCCTCACACCTGAGAGAGAAACCCAACATCTGCGTTCTGGAACCTATGGAATCTGGTTGCCCCACAAACGTGATGTCATCTGCAGCCTGCTGGGCTTCCATGATGGGTGGAGACCATTCACCTTCTCTTGGACAGGGGGTCCCCTTAACAGACAGGACCCTAGCACCCTGCAGTCCTCAGTGCTCACCCTCATATCGAGGCCCCATGGTACCTACATCACCTGTCAGGTGAAACACCCAAGATCTCAGGTGCCCACGGAGATGATAGTCCAGTTCCACATGTCCAATGAGTTGGGTGAGATGGCTGGGACCAGGAGTATAGTGGGGGCAGAGTTCCTTTCCCCAGAAGTTCTCTTAGGGGACGGTCCCCAAACCCTACCTCTTCCCATGTTGGTGCCTTTTTGGGGAAAGGGCAAAAGTCCACCCTCACCACATCTTCCCATTCAGACACCATGCAGTCTGTGGCCACCACCATTTTCCAGAAAATTCACAGGTAGGAAAGACCCTGTTCCTCTTGAGGGCTGCCCTGGAGTCAGATCTCTGCCTGTTTAGGGTTCAGCTGGTGTCTCAGAGCATAAAAGGAGAGAAGGTTGAACTTGAAGAGGAACCCAGTCTTCTGTCCTCAGACTCGTGGTGGAGTCTTCCCCCAACCATCCCTTCTCATGAAAGTCTCCCACTGATCGACCAAGTATATCACATTTGACTGCCCCACTGTTCAGAGTTTCTGAAATAACACATGCCTGTTTCATTTCTTGTCTGATCATTTTTTGTAGGCACCTCAAATGAACACAGTCCTCTAGCTCCGTCCTGGACTCTGTTTCTCGCTACACTGAGCTTCATCCCATGGCTCCATCTCCATCCCATTCCTGTGCTTATTCCTCCCACCCCCTTAGACACAGTCATTTATCTGATCTCAGATCTGCTTTGAATCCCTCATGAAGATGCCACCGTAACAACTCCTTTCCCCAAGAAGTCACTCTACACAAAGCCCCTTCTCACCAGCTAGATGCCATGAATCACTGAGTTTTGCAAACTTTGCTCTCAAATCACTTCTCTCTTTTTCCTCCAGTCCTAATTCAAATATGATATCTTACCCAGGTCATTGCCACAGGCTCAGCCCCTGAAGCCTGCTTCCTTCCTGTCTAATGGCACCAGCAGAGACCTTCTGCAACCAGAGGCTATTTCGTTATCCCCAGCTGAAAGCACAGTACACTTCCATACTCCCAGGATGAAGCTCAGGACTCTTAGCCTTGTCCCGGAGGCTTCCCATGACCTGACCCTGCCTTCTTTTCCACCATCTTTGTGCCTGAAGTGCACCTGGCCCTCTATGCCTGGTTGTAGAATTGGGTACATTTCCTGCATCTGCCAGGCTAGCCCAGTAATAGTCACAGCTCCACCTGAGATGCTCGCACAAGACTCATAATACAGAACTCCCCGTCTTCCTTCCAAGTCTCCTCTCAGCCCCCTTCTTTCCCACACTGAGCCAACCACCAGGTTCCTTGCAGGTCTACCCTCCTTCCCCTGTCTCTTTGGTTCTCAGTCTCTTTGTATGTCTCTATCGGTCTTGTTGTTGGGAAGTACTCTTGAGTGTGTTCTCACTCATAGTGACCCTGTATTGGGTTTCTTAGCAATGACTGGTGAGTTTGAACTGTCGACCTTGTGGTTAAGCAGTCCAGTGCTTGTTTTATAGGTCCACACCACCAGGACTCCCTCTCAGCTTTGTTGTTGGATACCCTCAAGTCAGCTCTGAGTCATGGTGAGTCTATGCACAACAGAAGGAAACACTGACCTGCCTTGTGCCCGCCTCCCAATTGTTAAGTTTGAGCCCATTGCTGCTACAACTGTGCCAACCCGTCTCATTGGGGGTCTTCCTCTTTTTCGCTGACTCTGCTCCACTTTACCAACCATGATGCCTTTCTTCAGGCACTGGTCGTTCTGATAACATGTCAGAAATGTAAAAAATGAAGTCTTGCCATCTGGGTTTCAAGACGTATTCTGGTTGCATCTCTTCCAGGTTGGTTTTTGCTTTTCTGGCAGTCCATAGTACCTCTCATATTCTTCTCCAACACCATAATTCAAATGCATCGATTCTTCTATGGTTTTACGTATTTATTGTCCAACTTTCACATGCATATGAGGCTATGGAAAATACCATGGCTTGTGTTAGGTGCACGATAGTCTTCAGTTTTACATTTTTGCTCTTGAACACTTTAAAGAGGCCTTTTGCAGCAGATTTGCCTAATGAAATATGTTGTTACATTTGTTGATTCCTACTTCCAGGAGTGTTGACTAGGGATCCGAGCAAAAGGAAGTCTTTGACAACTTCAATCTTTTCTATGTTTATCAGGATGTTATTTTTTGGTCCAGCGTGAGGATTTTTGTAATCTTTACATTGGGATGCAATCCATCCTGAAATCTTTGATCTTCATCAGTAAGCATTTTATGTCTTTTTCTCATCCAGGAAGCAAAGTTGTATCATCGGCATATTGCAGGCTGTTAATGAGTCTTACTCCAACCCTGACGCTTTGTTCTTCTTCATACAATCTAGCTTCTTGGATTATTTGCTCTGCGTATAGATGCACCGCCCCTATCCACTTACTCTACAATGTGATACTAGGGCTTGCTCCCCAATTACTCTCTCAGCCCAGTCAGCCTCACTCCTGGCCCCGCCCATTTACCAATCGTCCAATCCTTCGCCTTTCCCCAGGCTCCGCCCACTTGGTGAGCTCCCTTACGCCCCGCCCCTATCCACTCTCTCCTATCTTTCAGTCATTTGTTCTCCCAGCTCCTAAGACGTGTCCTGGAGGGACGGCCCCTGTCCAGGTCTGCGTGGCTGACAGCTACTCCACTGCCACGTTGAGCTGGGCTCCAGACGGAAAAGCCCTGAGCCCCTCTCAGTCCTCAGCATACTATAGCTGTCCCGCAATATCAGGGCCCGGAGGTAGCGGGGAGTTCACCCTTGAAGCTCAGCCTCACTGGGCTCACAGCACGTTTCCTGAGGGCTGAGTGAGTTGCAGGAGAGGTTGTGGGGACAGGCAGTCTGGTCAGGTGCTGGCTGCTGGAGAGGCAGAGGGCAGGGGACAGAGCCTCACTGCCTTCTCCCTCCCACAGGAAGCGACCTTTGCTGCCCCTGTTTCAGTAAGGTGGAAGAAGGCTCTGGGCCTCTGATCCACACCCTGGTCAGAGGGGTCCTCATGGGGGCTGGCTTCCTCCTCACCTATGGCCTCACCTAGCTCTACTACACCAGGTGAACACACCTGCCCTTCTAAGGGAAGACCAGTGATTGGTCCTGAGTTCTAGGGTGGGGCTGAGCTGTCCTGTCCAGCCTGGAGTTAGAATTGAAGTGACCCACTCTGATCTGAGACCTGGGTTTGCTCTGCAGGTGTGGAGGCCCCCAGAGTAGCAGGGCTGACTGAGCCCCCTTCCTTCTCAAGACAGACTGAGGTGTGGACATGGAGACCAGACTCACAGACAAGGGGGTCATCACTGTCACTATCTCCATGGAAACACGTGATTCACACCCCTACCCACTGTCCCTTTGAGTTTTCTGCCTGCCCCACTATCCATGTACTGTTCATCTTTCTTGTCCCCCACTTCAACTCACTTCCCATCTATTGGACCCCACCTGTCCCTACTCCCTCCTGACCTTCAGATCTGTGGTTGAAGGACTAACCATTGGGAACTTGTTGTTGTTAAGTGCTGTCAAGTCGATTCTGACCCGTGGTGACCTATAGCGACCCTGTATAGGGTTTCCAAGGAGCAGCTGGTGAGCTTGAACCACCGACCTTGCAGTTCAAACAACTTTGCAGTCTGACGCATTAGCCCACAGCACCACACCAGGACTCCCCTACCAATTCCTAAATACTGCCTTTGTTAGTCCTGGACTTCTCATTCTCCAACTCTCCTGTCAAGTTTCTGTGTAGAAGACCCCTGTCTCATCATAACTATTATAAAATGCTACAATATATAATCATTGTGAAAAGTTTTATTAAACACAATGTCATATAAAAGATGATAAACAAAGCTTGCTTTTTATCTATGTGGCACTTTTTTAGAGCAATATTTGCTTTCTTTTATGTATGTTTTAGCTAACTCTTTTGTACTTATTCACTATTATTGAAATTTAGCTGCTGGTGGTGGTTATGTGCTGGGGAATCAGTTCTGACTCTTAGTGACCCTGTACAGGGTTTCCGAGGCTGTAAATCTTTACTGGAGCAGAAAGCCTCCTCTTTCTCCTGTGGAACAACTGGTAGTTTCGAACTGCTGACCTTGCCGTTAGCAGCCCAATTCATAACCACCGTGCTACCAGAGCTCCTTGAAATTTATCTTACTTAGATTAAAGGTCACAAATCTTAGAAATATTTTAACAAAGATTTTATTTGTGAGTAAATTAAATTGCTGTAGCAAGAGTACCTGGAGATACTAGAAGACTTAACTTGAGAAAGATAGTGGTTTCCATTTATAGGAAGCTTTGTGAAAGTTAGTTGAGCGGAGGGGGCTGGGAGAAGAATAGGTCCGGGAAAGCTGTCATTTAAGCAAAGGCAGGTACATTCCAAGTGATTGGGTCAAGTCTCCTTCCTCTAATTTGTAGTAAGTGCAAGGGTTCTTGGCTTTAATATGATGAAGTCTCAAGAGAAGTTTGTTGTTGTTGTTTGTAAGTGCCGTGGAGTCGGTTCCGACTCATAGAGACCCTGTACAGGGTTTCCGAGGCTGTAAATCTTTACGGGAGCAGAAAACCTCATTCTCCTTTGGAAACAGTGGTAGTTTAGAACTGCTGACCTTGAGGTTAGCAGCCCGACTCGTAACAACTACACTACCAGAGATCCTTTCAAGAGAAGGAAGGTTTGGAAAATAGAAGAATTGATGCATATTAATTACAGTGTTGGTGAAGAATATTAAAAGTACCATGGACTGCCAGACGAACAAACAAATCTATCTTGGAAGAAGTACCCGCAGAATGTTCCTTAGAACTCAGGAGGGTGAGACTTTGTCTCTGGTACTTTGGACGTGTTGTCAGGAGGAACCCATCCCTGGAGAAGGACATTATGCTTGGTAAAGTGGAGGGTCTGTGGAAACAGAGGAAGACCCTCCCACGAAATGGATTGGCACAGTGGCAGCAGTATGGGCTCAAGAGTAGCAAGCATGCTCTGGCTGGTGCAGAACCGGGCAGTGTTTCATTCTGTTATGATAGGGTGGCTGTGAGTCCGAACAGATGCCATGGCACCTACCAACAACAACAAGTGGTGGCACAGATGATCAAGCAATTGACTACTAGCTGAAAGGCTGGCAGTTTAAACTCTGCCAGAAGTGTGTTAGAAGCCAGGTCTCGCAATCTGCTTCTGAAAAATCACAGACTTGAAACCCCTATGGAGAAGGTCTACTTTGCACACATGGAGTGTGTGTCACCATGATGGACCATCAATGGCAACTCACAGCATGGAAAAGCTGGGGCTAGTCTAAACTGGTCATGATTATTTCTGGCCGATAGCTGGAAGCTCTTGTTGTTAGATGCTGTTGAGTTGGCTCTGACTCAGAGAGACTCTATGCACACCAGAACAAAATACTGCCTGGTACTGAGCCATCCTCACAATTGTTGTTATGTTTGAACCGACTGTGGCTGTCACTGTGTCAACTCATCTTCTTCGTGGTCTTCCTCTTTTTTCATTGACCCTCCACATTACCAAACATGCTGTCCTTCTCCAGGGATGTCCTTCTCCCTCCTGATAATATGCCAAAGTATAGAGACGGAGTTTCATCATCTGTTTCTAAGGAATATTCTGGCTGTATTTCTTCCAAGACAGATTTGTTTGTTCTTCTAGCAGTCCAGAACTTTTAATATTCTTTTCCAACACCATAAGTTCAAATGCATCAATTCTACGATCTTCCTTATTCATTGTACAGCTTTCATATGCCTATGAGGCTATGGAAAATACCATGGCTTGGATACGGTCCATTAGTCTTCAAAGTGACATAATTGGCTCTTTTATATTTTAAGGAGGTCTTGTGCAGCAGATTCGGTCAATGCAATGCGTTGTTTGATTTCTTGAATGCTGCTTCCATGTGTGTTGATGGTGGATCCAATTAAAATGAAGTCTTTGACAACTTCAATCTTTTCTCTATTTATCATGATGTTATTTACTGGTCCAATGGTAAGGATTTTTGTTTTCTTTACATTGAGGTGCAACCCAGACTAAAGGTTATGGTTTTTGATCTTCATTCGTAAGTATTTTAGAAGCTGAGATAGACATGAAGGGACTTCCCTTTAGAGCTGTGTTTTGAATTTGAACTTCTTCTTTCCTGGACTGTGAGAACAGAGAAATTCCATTATTTGAGTTCATTCCCTTTGTTTGTGTTACAACATACATTTTACACTGGTTATTAGACAGCCTGTTACAAAAACCCACCATTTATCCTCACCACTGGCTGTCCCTCTCCTGTCACCATGCCTACAGGGCCAAGAGGGTATCTCCCAAGTTCTCCTCCCCTTGTCCCTGAACTAGTGATTTCAACCATGCTTTCTCTCTGCCACAAAGAGGAACTTCATGTCCCTTTCCTGCCTATTGTCATTTTAACTTCCTCTTCACATCATCCTGTCAAAGTTTGTGTGTCTAAATTTATCAATAGTTATGTTGTATAGAAGTATCATTTCAATGGAAATGATCATCAGCTCATCTTAGTATTTGTATGTATGTGTGTGCAAACACACAGAGGGATAGGCATGCATACATTTCTCTCTTTGAGTAGGGGACTGTAGTTCTTATTTTTAAATTTTATTTTCTTGTGGTGGAACTCTACATAACAAAGCATAGGTCAACTCAACAATTGCTACTGCACAATGCAATGATATCAATGGTATTCCTCAGGCTGTGTGACCACTCCTCATTCTTTTCTAAATCATCCCCCCACTGTTTTGCAGTTCTTCTGGAAGGTGGGTGTGGTTGTTTCTCACCTCCCTTCCCTCACTTCAGCACTTTGGATTATTTTACTTCCCTTTTCTTGGTCTGTGTGCTCTTGAGGTGGGGCTAACATGGCCTCTTCCCTGCCCTTGGGGCCAAGCTTTCCTGGCAGAGATTATGGGGAAATTTCCTCTTCAGTCTTTCTGTCTGAACCTTGTGGCTTCCCGTTGCAACTTCCTTTCCCCTCATCCATCTAATCTGGTTCTCCCTCCTAGCAGATGGGGCAGAGCATGGAGATTAGGGATGAGGTGGTCCCAAGGCAAGATCTGGACTCTCCAACTTTAGAGATGTCTCTTGAGATGGAGCCGGAGGTGCCCAGGTTGGGAATGGTGCGGGCACATCAGGGTTCTCTGTCTCATACCCAAGGAGCCAGAGGAACAGCCTATATGCTGTGATGTTTGGCACCTTGTAGACTTGAGATCTCAGAATCTTCCGAGTCACTATAGACAGGTACCTGACCACTGTACTTCAGTGGCTAACATGAGCAGAAGGAAGAGGTACAAAATATAAGACCCAGGGCCATTATTGACTTCTAGCTTTTGGGGAGCCATCTCTTTTATATTTTTCATCTTATTTTCAGAAATAGTTTCTGCATCTTGTAACTTATTTCTACGACTTCTTTTTTTAAGTTTTTATTGTGAATTATGTGAGGTTACATGGGAGAACACCAGCTTTACAGTCATCCTATTGTATTTCATTTTATTGAAATGATTACAAATCCCCTCCTTTCATCACAAATAATCAAGTGTACATCCCATATGCCCACCCCCCCGGCCATCAGCACACAGCCCCTCTTCCTCCCTGATTCCAGAGTCCCCAGCCACTCCATCGTCCACGTATGACTTCATTTTGAGTTCTTCGTTCCTGCTGTCACGTTGATTCTGACTCATAGCAACCTCGTATAGGATTTCTAAGGAATGGCTGGTGGGTTTGAACTGCTGACTCTGCAGTTAATAGTCTAGTGTTTATCTTACAGCATCACACTTGATATTGTTGTTAAATGCCGTGGAGTTGGTTCTAACTCATAGTAACCCTGTATAGGGTTTTCCAAGAAGTGGCTGGTGGACTTGAACTGCCGACCTTGCCATTTAAACTGAGCTTGTGGTCCAGGGCTTATCCTACAGCACCATGCTAAACAATGCATATTTAGAGAAGAGAAGTCCCTGGGTGGTACAAGTGATTAAGGCTGGCATTCTGAACCCAGTCAGAGGCGCCTCACAAGACAGACCTATCCATCTGCTTCCAGAAGGCCACTGTCTTGAAAATCCTGTGAAGCAGTTCTACTCTGTGCACATGGGGTCACCATGAGTTAGAATCAATTCAATGACAACTAAAAAAAACAACATTTTTAGAAGACTTATACTTGTCTTTCTCTCGTAGCTCAATTCCTGGAAAGCACATATGAGAGTGTTGTTAAGTGCCATCAAGTTGGAGCCAATTCATAGTAACCTGGTACAGGG